CCCCCCCAGCCCGCCATATCTCTCCTATCGAGCACGCCGACACGCCCGCTGCGGCGCTGCATTTCCGGATTTTCCTGTCCACTCGGCCAAGCCGCGGCCCTACTCTGCTTGGTCTACCACTACTACCGCTACATACTACATGCCTCGCAGCAGCTGCCCGCATGCAGCGCCTGCCCCCCTCCGCTGCGGGCCCGTGGTCAGGCCTACGTCATTGTCGAAAAAGTTACTTCACACACGCCCAGTGTCGCCATCAAACTCTGCCTGCACTTTGCACCGAGAGCCATGCATGCCCGTCAAGCGCGCCATGCTGCGCGCGCTGTGCCTCCGTCCTACATAGCATTACGTGACCCAGCTCGACGTCTTACCCGTCACGGCGTCACCTGGACCCTGCGGCCGCCTGACAGCGCGCCGTCGCCTTTCTTCACGTCCGTATTCCTGAGCTCCCAAGCCTTCCCGCTCGCTTAGACGATCAAACAAGGCAATACTGCTATTACCGTCAGCTCTGTCGGCGCTCCTCGTCGAGCGCCTCTGGCTGGCTTCTTGCTCGGCCTTGCCGGCCTGTAGAAAACGAGCCAATCCCGGCCGCGTCTTGCCCGCACTAAGCCCGGGTCAGCCAAAGGGCACGCGCGACCACCACAGCTATGCGTGCATGCATTAGGACACTTCAGCTTACTACTTCCCCAGGACTGCCGCACGATTGGATTCGCCGGGCAAAAAATAAACAAATCAAACCAAATATTTCCCCGTACCCCTACCAGAGAAGAGGCGCACTCCAACTGCACCGCAGCAGCCGTGTTCCTTGTCGCCCGCGGATATTGACGTCCCTTTCGGCCGCACCCACCGCGTGCCCAACGCCAGCCTCTTCTCCACTTGCAGAGTGGGCGCTGCGTGGCGCCCTGCTTGCAAGCCCAAGAGGTCCATTCTGCCACTTCGGGTGGACTATTCCTTTACAGTTCATGACGCTTTGCTTGCTTTTGCACGCTACAGCTTTGGTCTACTGCATCGATCGATGCGGTTTACACAACCAAAATCTCATTCCACCCCCAAGGCACACC